TTGGTTAAGCAGAATTAGTTAGACTTAGAATCTAGAGTAAGTAAGGAAGGTGAAGTGATTAAAGTTGTATTTCTTAAGAAATAGCAAAAGTGTGTATGTGTGTTTTAAAATGAGAAGACTTTAAGTTGTAGACTGGATAGAACAATGTGAAATCTGTTGCTCTTGGGAGTAGAACACAGTGATTCAAAGTTCTGGTTTCAGTCTGATTTGGGCTATGGTTTTCTGTGCCTTGCCTACTGCATTCACTTCTTTGAACTTTAATTGTTACATCTGTGAAACAGTACCCTGTATATAATTTCACTGTATTGAATTGTTAACAAAATTAAATGGGATAATGTATTTAAAACACTTAGCTGATTACCAGGCTCATAGCGTGTGCTCAATAAATGTTCACTGTTATCATTATACCTATGCCAGATTATTTGAGATTTTCCCAAATTCACCCTTTCTTTTTCACAAAGATGAAAATCTCATTCTTATGAGGATCTGTGTTCTTTTTCAAGTTTCCATATAATGTAGTTTTGCAGTATACAGATAGATTTTGCTGTCTCTGAAACTCTTAAAAGCATCTGACCTACTCATAGTTCATGTCGTGTAGACTGCCTAGGCTCGCTGCTACCTCATAGGTAACATCTCCTCTTAAAGTTTGTAGCTTTGCTGTGGCAGGGAATATTTGAAATACTTTGCATTTCCAGATGCTTGTCCACAAAGTGGGGATCTACTTAATCCTGACTGAATGGTTGCTCCTTCCTTGGGGCAAGTGGGTCTTGAATAAATAATGCCTATGGTGAGCTGCATTTAGTTATTTTGGCAGAATGGAGAGACCCATACGAAAAGGACTTGACACTGAGGTTGGTTTGTCCCATGGGAACCTCCCTGTCCCTGAAAAAAAATGTCCCTGATTCTTGGCATTGTGTGTTGATTTGGCACATGCTTGATAGAGTGATGTGCACTGGAAAGGTTTTTTTTTTCTTAATGTAAATTTGAATATTTAATTTTATTTTAATTGACAATAGTTGTGGATATTTACGGGTTATCATGTGATGCTTTGATATGTGTTCACCATAGTGTTTGGAAAGCTTTTGTCTGTGCTGTTAAACGCATACAGTAAGTAAAATTCAAGTGACGCAGAATCAGAAAGAAATAGAGCAACGAACACATGTGAGAAAAGATGCACTTGTGACTCTGGTTCGAGCGTTATGATGAGTAAAATGTGACAACTTAATTATTGATCAATTTTGATGTAAGACTTGAAGTACAGGCTCTTTTGGCATGGAGAGCTCTGGTGCTTAAAATCACTCCTTTAGTAGAAAGGCATCTTGTTCTTAGGGTCGTAGGCTTTTCGAGTCCTTGTAGACATGTTCCCAAGTGCCAGCCGCTTTGGATTTCTGCCAAGTTAGCCTCTTATTCTTCTTTTTCCTGAGAAAATCACCACCAGCAGGTCATAGATATGAGACTTGGTGTAATACCAACATCCCAAGAGGTGGCTACATTCTTTACTTTTTATTGCTGGATTTGGCTGTGATAGAAAGGAGTACCCAAACATTGCGACTAGCCAGACCTAATTAAAAATCCTGGTGATACCACTGGCTAGCTTGGTGTTGGTGAGTTTGAGAGAGGTTGAGCTTCTCTTTTCTCATCTTGAAACTGAGCATGTGGAATTATTAACTCGATCATCCTTGACATACCATCACTACCACCACCACCACCACCATCATCATCTTGGGCACTACTTGCGATGACACTGCATATGTACATTGCTAGAGCTTTTCCGGTGCTTTATAGACTTCAGCCCACTTAACATTCTCAACACCATACTAATAAGGTGTATTATCCTTGTATAATTAAATTGTATTAAATACTACCAATAAAATTTTTTATTGGTAGTATTTAATACAATTTATTTTCATTTTCCAGATTAAATACAACCCAAGCATTGTTGGTTTACAATTCCTAGATAAAACATCTTAGACTCTCATTGCTGAGATGAATTAATTTTGGGAGTTTATCTCACCCAGCAATTTCCATATTTTCTAAACCCCAAATTGTTGTTGCTGTGGTCCATAAGTCAAAAAATATAAAAACGTAGCTATTCTGTTTGAATTGGAACAGGGGGATTGAGCCCTATATAACAACTTACCTGTATCCAGGGCTCTGAGAAACCTGCATTGAAAAGCAATTTTTCTTAATTTTCCAGGATCTGTACCTAGATGAACAAAGTGCTTTATAATATTTCTCATCTGCAGACTCTGAATTACAAATTAGATCTCTTGATTTATCGGTCTATTTGTTTCCATGGGAACACAATATGTGATGCAACACAGTAATTATATTTACTAAAAATGTGCTGATTTAAAGATGATAAAATATGTCTGTACATAGTGTCCTAGAACTTGATAACTTTCGTAGTAGGTCTAACCTCTTTCTCCTAGATCCCCCCCAAGTGATGGGGAATATATAAACAATTTTCTTTTGGAAATTTGATGGGTTAGGTCTAGGATTAGTGTTAGGGTTAGAGCAACAGAGTAAGAAAAGAGAATTAGAGACAAAAAATGTTGAAAAATTTTGATGCCACTAAGACAGGCAAACATATGGGATTTCTTATGTGTCCTGAGAGCAGTTTTGGTCCTGTGTGGTTCGGGATATGGCTTTTGATGGCCACTGTGTAGAAAGACAAAGACACTTTGAGCCTAGTGCGAATTGCTCTAGGAAGACTGTTGAAGGCTAAACCTCTCTGTGGGTGACTTAGCAAAGAATTTGTGTGTAAGAGGTGTGCCCATCAGTCTTGAGGCTACACCGTGGTCTTGAGGAGAAAATTTGCATTCCTAAAAGCTTAGCCCCAGCATTTATTCTGCCTGCTTGGCTAATGCTCATCCCCAAGGCAGAAGTGTAGTTTAAAGTGATTTTAGGTTGATAGCTCCCCCAGGCAACTGTTGGAATCAAACACAAACACTGTCTGAGGAAATGCAACTCAAAACCAAAACGTCAAGTAATTCCCACAGACTAAATTCCAAAGAATATGTGGTCACAAATAAAAGAATCACTCAAAATACAAAAGCATCATGTATGATACTTTGCATAAACTAAAAACTCACAATCATATATGCAAATATGGAAAACATCACAACTAATAAAAATATGCATCTTTAAGTTGTTTAAAAGAAATAAAAATAATAAAAGATGACTGCCATACCAGCCCTACCCCGGGGCGCGTTGAGATGGCAATTGAGACTGGGCATGGTGGCACACACCTGTAATCGCAGAACTTGGGAGGCTGTACACAGGAGGATCCCTCTGAGTCTGATCTATGCAGTGAGACCCTGTACACCCTGTACAGCCTGTCCAAAATAAAACAAAATAAAATAAAAGATGAAAGAATGAAGGACTGTCAAATTTGACCAAACAGGTTAAAGCAGAATCAAATAGTATCTAGAAAATATAGTAACTAAAAATTAAAACAATGTCAGTGACTGAAACAGGGTGTTACACAGCTCAAAAGACAAATAAAAACTGAAAGACACATCTGGAAGCCACATAAAGTTCAGCCTAGAAAGCAAAACAAGTATATTATCTGAAAGCAAATCTAAGCAACAGGAAGAAGTGCTCACAAAGACAATGTTTTAAGAAAGAATATTTGATCAGTTTACAAAATGATGAATGAGTTCATTAGTTTTTGAAGTTCAAACAATCCAAAGAGCACTAAATAAAAATAAGTGCAGAGGTGTGGATCTTAGAGTAAAATTGAAGAATATAAAGCAAAACCAGTCACCGAAACAACTAACCACCTGACTGACCAACTGACCAACCAGCCAACCAACCACCCATCCACCCACCTACTCAACCAACCAACCAACCAACCAACCAACCAACCAACCAACCAACCAACCAACCAAACAAGCAGCTTGATCTTTAAAGTGTCAACATAGAAAATAAGTAGTTACAAAGGAACTATATTAGCAAATGAATGCTCAACAATAATCAATGCAAATTATAGAAATGAAATAATATCTTCAAAATGTTGAGACAGCAAAACTGTATATATGTAGTAAAACTACTTTTCAATCATGAGCATAGTTTATAAATAAGGACATTTAGATGAATTAAAATCTAGTACAGTAACTATTATAAGATCCTCACCAAAGGATCTTCCTGAGAGATATTTAGGAAGGAAAATAATTATCCTGAAAGGAATGGCAGGAATTTTGGAAGAAATATTAAAGAAAGGAAATGTCAAATATGTGTTCTACAAAAATTCCCCAGAAAACATGATTAAGAATATCTCTAGACATCTTGCTTATAATTATAAGTGTGAAATAACCCTATTTCAATATAATGTATAAAATAAGTCATGGAACCTTTATACTATGAAATAGTACAATTCTGACAGCTGATTCCTATAGGCATTAGTCTGAATGAAGAGAGCAAAGCACTCCATTTAGACTTGTATAGTATAATTTTATTTCTCATTATTTGGTTTTTAACATTTCAATGTTAAAAACCAAATAATAACTTGTTTGAGAATAAGCACTTGTGTGTTATAAAATAATAAATGTGTGAAAGGATATAATCAATATAAAACTAATGCTCATCTCTGGTGGCTGGGAGAACGATGCATTGGATGGATATAATCAAGGGACACTGATAGCATTTTCACTCTATCATGTATATTCATACATTTATTTGTATCTTTTATGTGTATTGTACATTTCACAATAAAGCAATTATGAAATTAATTATATAAGAAGGTCATAGGTGGAGGGTCTGAGGTCACCGTGGGTGAAAGCCTCTTGGCAGGAGCACCCTCAGCTAGTGTGAGTGTCAAGGAAAGGAGCTCTTCAGTGATGGGACGGCCCGGAGTATCCTGTTTCTCTTTTCCATCCTTTGCATATTGCCAGCATGTATCTTCATGCACTATGACAGATAGTAAAAAATGTTTTGTGTTTCGCTATTTGGTCCCCTTTGTGCCTTTCGTGATGTAGAATTTTTTGTGCATCTTACAGGGCATAACTTTTGTGTTGAAGCACCTAAATGTGGTGAAAACTCAGAGTGCAGAAACTGGAACACGAAAGCGACTTGTGAGTGCAAGAGCGGCTACATCTCCGTCCAGGGAGACCCCGCCTACTGTGAAGGTAGGGAGGGGCCTAACTGTGTCACTTACCAGACACTGGCCTGGCAGTATGCTCCTCATAGCTGGAGTGGAGGACTGAAAGCCATCGCTGGGCTCTGTTCCTAGGGCATCCTACAAAATCACGCCAGCTACTCAAGTTCTTAAGATACTTTGGGCTCTGGCTTTATGTGGGCTACCTAACCTGAGAAAGCAAGACTTTTGAAACTAGTGATGAATACAGGGGCATACACACCCCATGCTCCACTGGGTCTGCTAATTACCGGAATAATCCTAAAAGTTTCCATTTGCGATTTTGAGCAGATTGTCATCGCCGAGCTCAACTGCGTGTTTGGTGCTGGAGTTTCTTCCAATAGCATTTTGGCATTGTTTTAATCCCAGCTGTCATGTTTTTCACTTGTCAAGGTCAGATGTTTCTTCATTTGGATTTCTTAATGATTCATCTATACTTGATCTTAGCCAAAAGGCCAAGAAGCAATCAATGATTCATTTATGTTCTGCTCTGCCAATGACAAGTCTTTAAGAATCACAGTGAGAGGACTCATGGTTCTGGCACCTGGACAAAAGCCATGACAGTGGGTTTCAGTGATGCAGTTTTCTTCTCTACATGGCAGAACATCGCTGAAGTTTCTTCCAATAGCATAGATTTTAGGGTCTCACTGTGCAGCTCAGACTCATAGTAATCCTTCTGTCTCAGCCTCCCCAGCATGAGAGTTACAGGTGTACTGCACCACACCTGGCTTTCTCTGCCAGGATGGTGTGCAGTACTGGGAATGAACCCAGGTCCATCGTTGGCTCAGCATGTCCGGGGGTGGGGTCTGCATTGCATGTGGTGCCAGGGATTGAACCTTGGCCCCTACGCTTGCCTAATCAAGCGTGTAGTCTACTGAGCTATCTTGCTGACCCTCAGTTTGTCTTTCTTGATACCAAATGATCTTTGTCCTTTGTTTGAGCTGCATAGGGAGGCAGCAACAGAAAAGTTTGGGAGTAGCTTTTGGGTGGGCAGAAGCTAGGATTTCCTTACATTTTTAATGGTTAAAGTGAGATTGTGACCATTTTCCTGGCTCTAACATAAGCATTGCACTCTGCAGTGATTGGTTACACAAATGTAGAGGTGGGCACTATGGCCTGTCCTTATTGTCTCACCCTAACATAAAGAGAACTAGATATATCAGAACTGCTTCGTGCAAGCTGTATTTTATGCTGTGTAAATGGAGCAAAAATGGTTCATGATATTAAACCCCAGTGAACAAGACTGGCTTGCAAATTAAAACAAAATATTACACACATTGTCCAGGCTAGCTCGAAAAGCCTGTCCAGGCTGTTACTGCAAGAGGAAGCACAAAAGGCTTTCAATTTTCTTAACTTCCTGGGGTAGTCGCAGAGCCATGGTGCATTAAGGACTCTTGCTCTGCGGAGATTGTTGTAGAAACTGCCTTGGAGGAGATAACGGAACTCCCAGCCAATCAATGGGAGATAATAAGCCCTTTTGTCAGGCGTGATACAATTCACAGGAGGTTGCTTCTTTTTGCCCTGTGCAATTCGAGCTAAAAATGTCTCCAGTTTGAAGACTGCTTTAGTATTTTATGAACCTGGTGAGCGGAGATGTTTTCTCTTTGTGATGACATTTTCAATGAATTGGTCTTAAATAGTATCTGACACATTATTTTAAATTAGAAGTGATGTGTGGGGAAGTCCAGCAAGGGGGATCCTACTGATGATCCTTCCTCCTGAATTTGGAGTCTAAATGTATATTCTTATAAACTCTGTGTCCTTATAATAAGAAGCTGTTTTGATGAGTGAAGAGGAATGTGGTGTCACGTGCATTCCGCCATGTATGGTAGGTGCTACGCTTAGCCTTAAATGATAAGACTTTCACCTGCAGAGTGTTTTGGATTTTCCAGATGCCTTTTCTATATGGTATACTTCTTTAGAATTAATTAAATCTGTTAGGAAAATGGCAGTGCTGCTTCCTCTAACGCCCGGTTTTATAAATGCAGATGTCAAGGCTCATCCACCCTTCCTACCACTCACTTTTCCAAAGTGTTACCGTTGTTCAGAATACTTGCTACATCCTCAATTTGTTGCACAGCTGGTTGGGTCAAAGGAATTTAAGTGGGTGTAAGTGTGTCACTGTCATTTCAGAGGGGACACTGGAAGAACTTTGGCAGAATTCTCCCTCATTCTCTGGCACAGAAACTGGCAGTGCTGAAGCTCAGGGCTTGGCTTTTAGCCAGTGTTCCAGAATGATAACACAGAGCGGGTTACAACTGACAGGCGATGGGCGCACAGTGTGAGTGAGAAGCACTCACACACACCCCTGGAGCGTGTGGAGGGGGCCGTTATCTGAATTACTTCATCCTGACCTTGTGTGGTTTGGAGAGATCAGCGCTTGCAACCAAAAGCAACTTTTAATACAGCAAGTATTGAATGTCACCGGAAGAAGCACAGCAGGTTTGGATGGTCATTGCTCTGCTCTGGCTCTGCTATCAGGAAATAGATTTTTTTCAAAAACCACAGGTGTACATTAGTGTTTTGTTCTGTCAGATCCAAAGGTGGTAAATTGGATTTCCCAGGTAGTGTGATCATGGGACACCACATGTCTAAAATTTAGGAAACACTTTGGTATTTACTAAACACTCAATAGATTAGACCTGTCATCATTATTGTCATCAGTTTTAGTAATTAATGTCAATGAGTGTCTTGAAATCAGTGTGCTCAGGGAAGTCAGTACTTTGACTTAGTGGGATTCCTACATCCACGCCTTTTGGGACAATGAACGTGTGGTGAGGGAAATCAGTGTTAGCCGGAAAAGCTAGGTCTCGTCAGTTCTGTCGGGGCCTGTTGTTAGTAATGGGGCGCTGAGAATAATAAGCTACAAAGATGAACTCATTCCTTTCTCGGAAGAGCACAAGCCGAGCTGCATTCATTCAAGGATATATTTTGGAAAGAAAACCTTTCCTGCATTGGTAGGAATTTAACAGTTTCACATAATAAAAGTACTGAGGTGTGTGAGACACAGCAATCAGTTAGCAAGGTGATTCTAACTTCTTCCCATGATTGGTCGTGATGACAGAGAGCTCAACCCTTTGAGAGGGGAGAGGCTGGGGAAGTGGCAGAGAAATCCGAGTGCAGATGAGAAACAGCTCCCAGAAGAGCAAGCCGTGTAGAGATTGATGGCATGCGGAGGCCAGCGCAAGCATGCTTCCATAGGAGCAAAGCCATGGATTCCTGCTTAAGAGGATGCATGGGCCAGTGGGCCACTGTGATTAATTATACTTTGAATTATCCAAGAGTTAACCACATAACTGTATTTTACATTTTTTTTCCTTTGACTCTTTTACATCTTATAAAATTCTTGGGCATTGTGATCTGTGTAGTCCAGATTATACTCCAATCTGGCCTTTGTTTTCCTGAAATCCTGCTTTGGATAGGCAGGAATCATGGGCACCTTCTGATTGTACACTGTTAAACCAAAGCTTGATGCTTGCCTCCTGCACTCACTGGTCTGTGAGGAATTAGGTTGCTTGAGTAAAGGACACCTGGGTTGGGTGTGGGAGTGCAGTCTGGGAAGCTGAGGTAGAAGGGTTGTAAATTCCAGCACGGTCAGCTAGACCTTGTCTCAAAATAAGTAAGTAAGGGAGTGAGTAAGTAAGTAAATAAATAAATGAGATTAAAGAAGGCTGGGAATGTGGTTGAGTGTGAAGATTCTGGGCTTTGTTTCCAGTCCTTAAGAAAACAATTCAAAATAAAATAAGAGCAGGTGAGACCAGTCCAGACCGGACTTGACCTGACCAGACCAGACCAGATCAGACTAGACCTGACTTGACCAGAGCAGAGGAGAGCAGAGCAGAGCAGACCAGGCCAGGCCAGGCCAGGCCAGACCAGACCAGACCAGACCAGACCAGACCAGACCAGACCAGACCAGACCAGACCAGACTAGACCAGACCAAACCAAACCATCAAAACAACCTTGGAGTATCCTTTTGCCTTAATTTTACTTTCACAGCTCTTGGAGGTATCTGTTTCCCGCATACCTGGCAAACCCAACCTTCCCTTTTAAAGGACACAGAAATGTCCACCCTTTCTCTGCCAGTGCATCCCTGTACCACTGTCCTCCTAAGAGCACATGCAGGGGCCCTTTGTCCTGGGTCTGTTTTTTCTTTGCTTCTGCCTCTTATGTCCAAGGCTACTTTCCATCTGTTCCTGCCCTTCCTTTCCTCTGAGCCCTTCTTAATGCCTAAGCCCTTGCTCCAAGTTGCTGCTCAGAATTCTGTTAAGAAGAAAAGCAGCAGCAAATCCAAATCATCGTTATTGTGCTTGCATCAGACCAAAGGGTTTGTTGCTAACCTTTTGGACTCAGGAAGACTCCTTGTCAAACCAAATGGAGTAAACAATCAGTTATCATAACTAGGGAAGCTGACTGAACACTTTTTTTCTGGTGACCATATTTCAAAAGTTCTTTGTAAAGTATTAATTGGAATTTTTGAGTTATGCTTTTGTGATAAGGATATACACCAGTATTTTATTAGGGTAGTTCATAGAAGTGTAGTTGACTCATCATCTAGCTTGGATTATAAAGCTGTACTTTAGGTAGGTCCTGAGAACACAGGACCAGGCCTTTTTCTTCTGATCTCAAATAAAGGCACATCCATCCACCCAGATGGTTGGGCCGTGATGTGTACAGGTCACTCTTGTTCCACGCTTTCCCTTACTCCCAAGATCTGCGACTCAGGAAGTCTTGTTTGCTTTATTGCACGATAAGTCACAAACCCCCATACCTGGCTCTGTTCACTGCTTCCACCCTAATCCCAGCCTCCTTGATCCCTTAGCTAATCATTGCAGTGGTCCACTTTTGTATCTCTTGGTTACTTCCTTGAGCCTTTGAAGTATAAGTCAGATTAAGCCACACCTCTACCTGCAGTTGGCTTGTGGCTCCTGTGCCTCTTAGAACGAATTTGGACACATGGAGCAATCTGTGTGAGCTGGAGCTTGCCTGCTTTC